CAGTGGTGAGAATCTTTGTCTTCTTGACATTGAGCCTCAATCCATATTGGAGGCTGCAGTCCTTGACTCTTTGCAGCAAGTGCTTCAGGTCCTCCTCAGTTTCAGCAAGCAGGGTTGAATCGTCTGCATAAAGCAGATTGTTGATAGATCTTCCACCATGAGTTTCACAGAAATTATATAATTGATGATTTTATTTTGAATTTTGCAATCATAACGGTGGGGAATTTTAAAATCTCCTCGACTCATATCTGTGGCCGCACTTAACAATGTGCCCTTCTGATTCCTTTGCTTCCAAAAGTACTATTAAACAATGAGAAAGACAGCAGCTATAATGCCTACATGGATCTGTAAACATCTTAAGGGCATGATTGATGAGAATATGAAAAAAATAATTCAAAGGATGCCATGAATGTGTTTCATTTGAACCTTGGACAGTTCAACAAAAGTCAAAACCATTTTTATGTTCCCTAAGCCTTTAGGGATTCCACTGTCAAACTCACCTGTTCGTGGCCATAGTATGCTGCAATATGCAGTGGGGTGAAAAAAACTGCATCTTGAACGTTGACATTTGCTCCATGCTGCAACAGTACATCAGCAGCCTAGTTAAGAAACATATACTTAGTTAAGAGCTCCATTAGGGCTATCTGCCCGTCATGGTTCAGTATATAATAGTCATACACAATTTTTCAGAAGTTATCAACTTAAAACACAATTTTTTTCCCCTCACCTTCTTCTTAACATTCAGTGGTTTGTTCTTGCCTGGAAAAGGAAGTCCAACTCTAACAGTACGGCATTCAACATTGCTCCTACAGATTGTAGCTTTCCTGATATATTTACCATTAGTCTCGTTCCTAAACCCAAGTTTCTAGTCAATTCAAACTGTATTCAGTTTTCTGCTCCTTTAAACTTTTATTCCTATTATTTCACCTGTCAGAATGTCTATTCTTTAGAAGTTTAAATAGTTAAAATACTATCAGTATGTCTATTCTTCAGAAGTGTAAATAGTTAAAATGCTATCTCCTTTCAAGATTTTCTAAATTTCCTTCCCTTTGTCAAGCAGCTGGCTGATGTTAATTCTTTCCTCCCTTTAAGTATCATATGACTTTCTTTCCTATTACTTAAAATGTTCTTATAATCTAGTGGCATAGTCCATGGGGGGCTGTGCTCCTAACCCAAAGGCACACTTTTCTGTTGGTTAAAATATACGAGCTGCTCCATGGGAGAAAACAGGCAATGGTCTACTGTGTGATTTATAGCTGAGGAAGCCCAATGAAGAAAGGGTGAGTTGTGTAAGTTTTGATTTCATAGCAGTGAGTTTTAAGATTTATTAAACAGAAAATTCTTTAGACATTGTTTAGCTTTATATTTATTCTATCAGCCTTGCATGCTGTTATGCAAATATTCATCATCCAAAAAAAATTACTGAAAAAATAAATGGATGAAAAATGAATGAGTGAAAGAAAAACACTACTAAGAGCTATCAGCTAATTGTCTCCATGGAAAGTCATACAGCGGCATCATGGCTATTAAATCTTTATATTTGTTTTTCTCTTAATAACTCATATCCAAGACTTTCTTCTTTTAACAACAAATTGGAATAATTTTTTCCTGATGTATTTACTTTTACTCTGCACTTTTCTAGTGCACTGTCTTTTCCTCAGTTAACACAAATGAAGTTCACTGGAAAATTTTTCAAAAGTTTGACAGACTTAGAAGAGAAACAGATAGAGGGAATTTAAAAATTCATGTAACTGTGAAACTAAATTATCTCCAAAATCAAGTTTCTTTTTGCCTTTGAAGACCATGAAGACATGAACATCTAACAAAATATTTTTTAAGAGGAAGAAGTTGTGACTCAGAGACATTAGGAAGCTTTTCATAGTCATAGAACAAGTCAGTGATAAGTCATGGAGCAACAGAACTAAATCCTTCATTCCTCAGTGCTCCATAATCTTAAGCAGTTCATTCATTTAATCATTTGTTGATTCATCCATAACATATAATTTCTTGATACTAAAATTACTTAAAATTATATAACTGAATTATTTTTTATCATTATTCTCATAATCTAGTAACATAGTATTAGAGCTAATGAAATTTGTAATAAGAAAAGGTAATAAATTCTTGTTGGAACCTTTGAAATTTCTGGTTAATCTAGAAAGAAAAAAAAAACCGGATTAATAGACTTCCATACACTTTCAAAGCAATGTTTTTCTTGATATTTGGAAACTGCTGATAATTGACTAGGAGAATATACAATGTATAAAGTTACTCAAACTCATGTTGGCATGGAGTAAAATCAAGTCATCTCTGACCCTCCTATGCATTTTTTATGGCTGTAAATTACATGAGAGGAAAATTGATTCTTTTTCTAATGAGGAGTGACTGGTAGATTCAAATTACCAGAAAAGTATGGCTGATGAATTAGCAGGATAACCTTCTATGGAATAGGGCAGCAGAGGTCCCTGGCTGGGCATTTATGAAGGGCATGTTATATATATATACCAGAAGGAGTTCAGTAGTGCAGTGTATATACAACATGTTGGGTGCTTTACTGAAATGTTGGCAGCTCAACTCCAACAGCTACTCTGATGGGGAAAAAAATGAGCTGTTTTCTGCTGTGAAGATGTATAGTCTCTGAAAATTGATGGAGAGTCACAACTGATTTCATAGCAGTAGATTTGTGTTGCTTTTGGGGTACATATACCAAAGCCCATATTAAAAGTATTAATAGTATTTGATATATATCTTCACTAATTAACCCCAGGACACTCTGCCCTACTCAAAAGTGAAATACTGAGCCTGGAGGAAAGTAGGAATCTCACTTGATGTCATAAAGTAATTAAAGGACAGAACTAGAAATCAAATCCAAGTCTGTGATTTTGAAGTTTCCATCATATTCTTCATGATAGTATGATCTCTTGATCCTTTCTGTAACTGAACTAACTGACTCAATCTCAGTTAAGAGGAAACCATCTCTCAGTAGAGGCCCTGAAGATTCAGTTTGAAAAGGAATGCTGGCGTCATTTATATAAAGCATAAGATAGAGTTTATCTTAGGCTTCACATGCCTGGGAGTTCAATCGGAACCTTTAAAAAAGGCCACGGATGATCAAGGTAGATGAAGCTTTTTACAATTTCTCTCATTTTAAATATAGCATAAAATAAAGTAGGCAGCATGAATTTTTATTTTAAAAGAACTCTCAAATGTTAACATATAGAGCCAATTTCTTAGGCATGGGTCCAAAATTACTTTCTTTCCAAAAGATAACACTTCTTAAACTTCAATAAATAGTCCAAAGCAAGAAATGTTCCCCTAAGTTTGCACTTATCCAATCACTCAGTAGGTCAGCCTTTTGGATGTGCATTCATTCAGTAGTTGTGAAATATTAGCTCTCAGAGAAACTGTCCAAATTCTAAGTTTTAATGAAACTACAATATTAAATGGTATGCTTTATTTCATTTGTTTTAATATTCAAAGGATTTTTTAACCAATGAGAGCAATATGTACTGAAATCCTCTGTATAATTTTATGTTTCATTCACATGAGTAGAATGCGTGTATTGACTTCTACGATTTTCTTAGTCACAATGGGGACAAGATCTACCAGAAGTCATAGAATTCCAGTTATATGAATTATGAGAACTATACTCATTGTCATTGAGTAAATTCTGACTCGTGAATCTTCTAGAGGGTTTCCAAGGTTATAAATTACATGGAAGGAGACTGCTCATCTCTCTCTTTCCCTCCTCAGAATAACTGGTGAATTCAAACAAGCCTTTGGGTTAGCAGTGCAACTTATTGGCACTGTCCAAATCCACCAGTTCCTTCATTGGAGAACAATGAGCAATCTTCCTTATGTGATTTGTAGTTTGCGAATCCATTGGAGGTTTGCTAAAAGTTGGGTATTACTCTGAGGAAATGGAGGTTTTTATGTTGTTGTTTCCTTTTTTTTTTAAAGAGTTAAAAGGATGTATGTTGAAATACTTTCTTGTGCTTTGCCCAAGACATGTTATTTTCAATTGCTTCATATGCATGTTGTTGTTGATTGCCGTCGAGTCAAACACAACTCATAGTGACTAACAAAAGACCTAATGCCTTTCTATAATTGTTGTCATTTCAACAAGTTCATAGAATTTCCAGAGGTATGTGATTTAGGAAGTGGATGCCACTCTTGCTTCCAAACGTGTTTTACATCTGGAGCTCCACCAAATACTGTCCACAATGGAAAGCCATTCTGGTATTTGATACCTAATGGCACAAGGTTCAGCATCACAGCAACGCAGGTTACTTCATACTGCATGTTGACTAAGAGTGATGTACAAAGTGGAAGAGCGTTCCTCAAGATATAGCTGTACTAGTTTCACTTAGCCAGGGTTAAGTGTTGTCAAGTCCAATACGATTGAGAGTAAGTTTTGCACAAAAGATCTAAACTCTGTTCTATGACTTACATAATTTCTGTACAGAACTGTTCTACAATTACCATCATTTCTGTACATTTAGAGTTCAGAGAGTTTATAGAGTCTAGAGTGTTTGCAAGAGTTGAATAAGGAAAAGGAAAGAAGAAATTCTACTTATGTTGGTTAAGAGTATCCGATGAGTTTTGTTTGTTTTCAGGCAGGGTCATGCTATGGAGAAAACATCCTACTAGGAAATGTAGAGCCTCAGTGAAAAAGAGGAAGACCCTTCAATGAAAAGCATTGACACAATGACTGCCACAATGAGGTTACACATGGTAGAGAGTATAGGAATGGTGCAGGACAGTGCAACATTTTGGTCTTGTTCACAGGATCTCTGTAAATCCATAGACTAGACAACATTTTTCAATAACAACAATATAATGTGTGCTATGAATTAGAATCAACTTCATGGCAATATTGTTGTTGTTATTTGCCATCGAGTCGTAGGCGACTCATAGTGACCCTATGAACGAAAGTCCTCGGTACTTGTGTGACTTTCATCCTTTCTCCAGGTTCATAGAGATTCCGGAGGCAAAATATCACAGAAGTGGATGCCACTCCTGCTTCCAAGCTTGTTTTATTAGGGGAGCTCCACCAAACACTGTCCACCATGGGTAACCATTATCACATTTGATACATCAGTGTCACAGTGTTCAGCTTCACAGCCACCACAAGTTATCTCTGTACGTATGGTAAGTGGACAGTCCAGGGCTATACGACCTAGAAAAATGTAAGTACTTGGATTTTTATAAGCACCTTACATAGATCAGTGGCAAGGACTAAGAATACTCTAGTTATTGTTATTATTATCATTATTCTAGAACTAAAATAGCCTAATCTGATAAATTGGTATCTTTCATTGTTGGAAGACTAACCTGTTTATACGCTAAAGTGTGTTTCCATTAAGCAGCTGTTTTATAAACACAGGAAATGGATCAGAGCTCTTTATTTTGATAGTGTGACAATTACTATGTAAATTACTGTTACAGATATTTTTATTTACCAGAAGACAAGTACAAGGGTTCAAATGAGGTCTCTTAGATATTTTGATTATAAATCACTTATTTGCATATGTGATCTTTCTGGAATAACTTCGCTCCTTTATCTTTGAGAAAATATTACCTAGTTTTCAAGGCCAAG